GACGCAGACCGGTGCGGGGCCGGAGGCGCTGGCACCCATCGGCCTCGCCTCTGAGCACGGGGTGACAGCCTGTGACGCGGCACTGGGCTGCTGCCTTGTGCAGGCAGCAAAGCGGCAGCGTGTTCCACGCGCTCGACCACATCCAAGAGCCTGCGAACGGCGCGCTGTAAAGCTTAACGAGGTCCCGTGAAATGTTTTAATTTGGCCTCGTCTATTTACCTGGGATTAAAAGAGCCCGGGAGAGGTTTTGTTCCCCGGGAGGTCTGGGCTAGGGGGAGGAGCAGGGCTTGCTGCTTAAATACTCTGGGAGGAAACGGGTGGGAAAACCAGTGCTTGACATGTCTGGCCGCAAGGACCCTCCGCTGCACGCAGGGGCTGAGGTGCCCTCTCCGGGGAGCGTGAGGCCAGACCGGCTGGGCCGGCCCCCCCCCCGCCCTTCCCCGCCGGGCCCGCTTCCGGCACCCGGCGCAGCACCCAGGAAGAGAGGCAGCCTGAGCACAGCCTGGGCTTGTGCCGCGGCAAGGGTTGAAAACAAATAGTTTTGTCCTGTGTTGGAGTTTCGAGCCACGCTCACAAGCACAGCCCGCCCGGTCCTGGCACTGCTTCGAACGCGGGCAACCAGAAAAATCACTGCAGCCCTAGGGATACCCTCTCCCCTCATGGGGCCTCTCTGGCCTCACGAGCTGCCTCCCCCGGGCACTACCAGGACCCTTTCCCATCACGTGGCGAGCTTCGGATACAAGCAGGCGGGCCAAAGGCTCTTGGAGGTGCTGTCTGGGGATGCAGGCGTGGAGGCCTGGCCCGAGGCCTGGGTAGGTTCCCTGGGGTGTTGCTCAGCCTCGCGCAGTCATGGCCTGGGCAGTGCCCGTCTGCTTTCCTCCTCACCACCCTCCACTCTTCCCTTCTGCACAGCCCCGGCCCCCGGGCGTTGTCCAGGCTGCCTCAGGGCAAGCGGCTCCCCCTGATGCCCCCAGCCCCGCCTGGGCCTGCCCTGGGCTGCGGCTGTCGTACGGTCTGGTAGGGGCTGAGCATTGTCCGGGCTCCCGGCTGTGTGGCTGGGCAAACCACTGTGCTTCCCAGGCTAACGGAGGTCCCTGCTGGAGGGAGGGAACGAGTGCTCTGCTGGGTGCTGACATCCCAGGCTGGCTGTCTTGCGTGGCTCCTAGGAGTGCCCTCGTAGTACCTGCTTCCCAGGGAGCCCAATGGAGATCAGGCTTTTTAGACTTACCAGGAGATTCAAGAAGCGACTTGACCACAGTCTGCGGGTACCTGGCAGGGTGACGGTCCTGGAGAGCAGACCCGGGGCAGAACCAGGTCCCGGGTTGCCAAGCGGACATTGGACAGTTTGGACCCACAAGGCGCACCTTGTTCCAGAGGGTGCCACGTGTGGGGATGGTCCCAGCCACGGAGCATGGTGGGGTCTCGGTTAGCTGAAACCTCTGAATCGAGACCAGGGCCGAGGGGTGGGGCAGGGCAGGGCAGGGCAGGGAGCTCCAAGGATGGGCCCTGGGTCAGGATTGGGAGTGTTGCTCTGCTCGCGCTTCCCACTCGATGGCAGGAACCGCACCTACGGCTCTGCAGCAGAAATAGTCCCGTGCAGCCCCCTCCGCACGCCCAGCCTCTCCCAGGCCCCTGGCGGCGTGGTGGCCCCAGGCTGGAACGTGCTGCCGCTGCTGTCCTCCCCGGGATCAGTGTCTGGCAGAGCCGAGCAGGAAAAGGAAACTATTCCAAAGGGCAGTGGAAAAAAAGAAAGTGACTAAAGCCAAAGCGTATGCCTCCGCATGGAGGAAGTTTACGAGACAGGTTTTAAAAGGCACATTTCTGTGGGCCTTCAGAAATGCGCTGAGGCTGGAATGTGTAACAGGAGACCTCAGCAGCGCAGCGTGCTGCATATTTTCTGCACTTCACTTTATTTACACAAAAGCTGGCAGCGATGTGTAACGGGGTGGGAAAGAACAGCTCACTGGAGAGGGCTGCAAGCTGGTTGAGGTCCTGGGGGGCCTGGCACACCCCTGTGTCTGGCTGTGCCTTAGTGTCAGACGGGCTGCCAACAGATCATCGCTCTTGGGTCCCCGCTGGCCCTAGGAGGCCCGGGCCAACCCCGTG